ACCATAGGAAACTCACCAATGTTGACTTTGCAATTTTTTAATTATATTTTAATTTTAATAATTATTTTAATAAAATAGGGGGATATTTTCATTAGAAATCAGTGTTTTTGAGTTAGAGGTATTCCTTGACTTTAGAAAAATCAAGAAAGACTTCTAATATCATTATGAACAAATCCTCAAAATTTTAAGTCAAAGTATTTGATTTTTTATAATTAAAATAAGTTTTAGAGAAAATACAAATTTTACGGAAAAATACTAAATAAATATTTTTGATTTTTGGTCAATAACTTCTCATATGTTCACCAACACAAGGATAATTTTGTTTCATTTTAATGATCTTTCTACACCAAGATATGTTTTTTTTTAAAGTGAATAATTTTTTTTAGAAATAATTAAATAAAAAATTCTTATTTTAATTTAGTATAAAAAAATCAGACAAAATCTATGATAACATCAACATATCATGGACGAACAATAGTAAATTAGTGGTAATAACTTCATAATAACATTAAATCATATAACATGTGAAGTACCATGAAAAAATGGCAAAATAGTGACAATAACACCAATATAACACTAAAATATAACCATGAATAGCACAGGTATTGTTCATCTTCTTCATCAAGTTAGAAAACTAAAACTGTCTAATTTCAAACATTAATATCTCTCTCGATTCTCAATTAAATCAAGTGAGATTTGTTCATAAACCTTCACCTAAGTGTGTAGATCAAATCCATAAGGCTACTTTACCATGAAATGTAAACTTACTTTGCAAAGTTGCAGAAAGTGGTAAAAATGTAAAGTTTAAAAATGATACCTTTGTCCAAGAGGTGAAGCCTCAATTGGATAGTTGTTGTAGCTTCACTTGGGTCCCCTAAAGCTTTCTCCAAGTATAAATTTCTTCCAACAAAAGGTCCAAGTAAGAAGTCACCCAAAAGTGGCTCGGTTTTGGTTGAGAACTATGTTAGAAAGCTTAGAAAGGGTGGATTTTGGTCTGGGGCGATGTTTTGATGTCTTGTGAAGCTTTTTAGACCATTTATTTGAAGCTTTGGTGGGGTTTATGGGGGAGGCCAAAAATATCCTGATTTTGGACTATAAAATTGTAGTTTCATGATGGGGGATGAGGGACTGAAAATGTTGGGAATTTGTTGAGGAAAGGTGCAGGAAGGCCTGGAGACAATTTGACAGAGTTTTCCCCCAATTTTGGGTGAGTTCTCCTTTTTTTGGCTATGAGTGTGGCCATTTTATAGGCCAAGAGGCCAAGCCACGAAGGTGAAGTCATTTTAAGAAGAGGAAGCTCATAGGTTGAGAAGGGTGCCATGATTCATCATGTGTCATGTGTCCGTATGTTGAACTTAAGTTGGAAGTGCTTAAATTGTTTTTATGTTTGACTTTGGGAATGGCCATGGAAGCAAGCTTAGGGGAATTCCAAGGTTACTGGAGTTGTTGTCCAGCTTGGGGAAGTGGATAGAAAATTATTTTTGGGTTTAAGTGTTTCATTAAAGAGGTTAAGTACTTTTTGGGAGTGTTAAAAGAGGGGTTTTTTTTGTTTTTCAGTTAGGGAAAAGTTGAACTGGGAAAGGCTACTAGATTTTTAAAGTTCCCATGTGGAGGAATCTAAGGGGAAAATAATAGTTTAAGTGGTGTTGCTCAAGGCTGTATTCAGGATGTATTGTGGGCGTACTTTGGATATATTGGGTTGTTTTGAGAATTTTTGAAGATTTTAGGGGTCAAAGGGCAGTTTGGTCATTTTGTTAAATTTGGGAGAATTTGGACAACTTGGATGGCTAGGAATTTTTTTGGTAGGGTTTTGAGCAAAATTGGGGATTTTGGCAATTTTGGGTGTTTTTGAGAATTTGGGAGTATTTTGGGCAAATCTTGATTTTAGGGTGGATTTGAGGTTGATTAGACGATGTGAGCGTGCAAGCCATGAAAAGCCTCCTTAAAGTCACATGTGTCTTATGAGAACTCATCTTGAAGCTTCTGCATGTTGGTCATAGCCATCCTAACAAAATGCTAGAGGCTTGGGACCACCCACATGAGTTTTCAACAGAGTTATGGAGTAGTTATGGGCTTCAAGTGAAAGATAGGTCAATCTGGGTAAATGGATAGTTTTGGATGTGTGTGAGAATTTATGGTGACTTCAAGTGTGTGTGTGTGTGCTAGACTAAGCTACCAGAGTTGCTTTAAGGCATGACAATCCTATAAGTACTTTTTTTTTTCCTTTTTAAGTTTCCTCATGTTTGTCTCAACCTACTAAGTGCTAGATGACAAAAACCACACATGTGAAACTCCAAG